TGAGAACTGCCTCACTCAGCTGATTCCTATAGAACCAACATGCCAATTAATCATGAGTTATCTCAGCAAGAGTTAAGTTTCAAAATTATTCCCCATATGATCCAAGTAAGACAGCATGGGCAAAGTGACAGGGTGGATTCTACCATATTCAGTTTGATTGCTAATCCCATGTCAGACATTAAAAAATATGAAGTCTGGGAGAATTTTTCCTACAGGTTTTGATTATGAAATATTTGGCAAAGGAAATCTAATTCAAACCAGGTGCTGGACTCTTGCTGAGCAGCAGTCGGTTAGAACACACTGCCAAAAGGACCCCTTTAGTGGGGAGGCCAGATGAGCTCATGCAAAGGCGTTTTTAGCAGCTTTTGCCCCCTAAATCCCATAAGCACACCACCACTCAATTTTCCACATCTTTTTCTCTTCCAAAGAAAGTTTATAGGAAAAGACTACAAAATGCACATCCTGCAAAATTCATAGCACCTTTAAAACCAATGGGTTTTTCTACCTGTATCATGTATCTGGCCTTAATCTTAAGAAATATGTAAAATAAAAATTTTAAAAATCAAATAAAAATCTTCTTCATTTATCACATATTTTACTCAAATTCCTCACCAGCGTGAAAATACCAACTATTAAGTGTACACACACACATATCTTGGTTTCTAAGAATCTGTAAATGTGCAAACCAATAAAGGATGTTAATTTATATTACCCTAACAACATTCTTTGATTTTCAAACTACAATTAATTCTTATTTTATTAGGGGCTACCTACTTTTGTGGATAATCAAAGTCCTTGATTTCTTTTCCTTCCCTATGTGTTTATACTATCTTCTTTTTTTCTTTGTCTCGTCTACTCATAAGAATATGTTCCAAAGTATTAGAAGTAGAATTAATGAAAGTGAATACGCAGCCCTTTCTCATTACTCATAAATCTCAACTCCTCTCTTTCCCCCACACCAAAAAGACATAAACATACCACTTTTTGGCCTTGCTGCTCTCTCCGTGGCATACCTCCTGGTCTGGTTCCATCCTTTGGTTTCTCCCCGTGGCCAAACTCTACCCGCTACGGGAGGCAAAGGATGATTAAGCCCCACTTAGTTCTATCTTGCAGTGATTTCAACCAATTCCATCTCGCTGACACGGCCACATGGAAAAAATAAACCTCTCATCTGCCTGTCATCTTTGCTCCTAATCTACGGGTACTTCCTGAACAAGGAGTAAAGAATCCTTGCTGCAACATGAATTAAACTTATTAAGAAACAACATGTTCAGAGAGCTACAGGCTCCACCCATTTAATTTATGGCCAAGTTCAATTTGCATGTCTAGGTTGGTCCAAATAATACATTTGAATTCCTCACATTTAACATGAAACTTTCACTATTTATAAAAACTATTGGGTAGAGCCTAAGCTCCTCTTTTAACAATGGCCAAATCAATCCAATTATTTTTTACATAGAATTCCTCTTTGACAGATTTTCACTAAATAATAAATAATAATAATTATATAATTAAAGCAGCTAACACTTACTTATGCACTTACAATGTGTCAGGTACCATTGTAGCATTTTACAAGTATTAACTCATTTGATACTCACACCCACCCTATCTCATTAGGATTCTCTAAACGAATTAAAATTGTACAGCAAAGAAAGACTAAGTAACATGCTGCCAATTACCTACTATAAGTGGCAAAATAGGGACTCAAATGCAGTCTATTAAGGATTGGTCTTAGTTTCTTCTATTAGATATTTGGGGTTTTTTGGGGAAGGGGTTGTTTTAATTAAAACAGCTTTATTGAGATACAATTAGTGGATTTTAACATACTCAGAATTGTACAACCATCACCACATTCAATTTTAGCACACTTTCATTACCCCAAAAAGAAGTCCTATACTCATTTGTCATCACTGTCTATTTTTGTCACAATCCTTGGCAATGACCAACCTACTTTCTATTTCTATAGATTTGCCTATTCTGGACATTTGAAATAAACTAAATCATATAATATGTGGTCTTTTGTGTCTGGCTACTTTCACTTAGTATGTTTTCAAGGTTCATCCATGTTGCAGAGTATATCAGAACACATTCTTTTTTTTTTTTTTAAAGATTTTATTTATTTATTTGACAGAGAGAGAGCGAGAGCAGGAACACAAGCAGGGGGAGTGGGAGAGGGAGAAGCAGGCTTCCCGCTGAGCAGGGAGCCTGATGTGGGGCTGGATCCCAGGACCCTGGGATCATGACCCGAGCCGAAGGCAGACACTTAATGACTGAGCCACCCAGTCTCCCTCTTTTTTTTTTTTTTTTTAAAGTAAGCTCCATGCCCAGCAAGGAGCCCAACATGGGGCTTGAGCTCATGACCCTGAGATCAAGACCTGAGCTGAGATCAACAGTCAGATGCTTAACCAGTGAGCCACCCAGGTGTTCCTCATGTAAAAGTTTTTGTGTGGACATAGTTTTCATTTCTTTTGGGTATACAACCTAGGAGTGGAATTGGTAGGTCGTATGGTGACTCTATGTCTAGCCTTGTGAGGAACTGCCAGACTGTTTTCCACATGCACCATTTTACATTCCCATCAGCAGTGTAGGAGGGTTCCATTTTCTCCATTTCCTAGTCTACACTTGTTATTATCTGTCTTTTTAATTATAGCCATCCTTGTGGGTGGGAAGTGGTATCTCATCAATTTGCATTTCCTTCATGGCTAATTATGTTGAGCATCTTTTCATGTTGCTTATTGGCCATTTGTATATCTTCTTTAGACAAATGTTTTTCGGGCGCCTGGGAGGCTCAGTTGGTTAAGCGACTGCCTTCGGCTCAGGTCATGATCCTGGAGTCCCTAGATCGAGTTCCGCATCGGGCTCCCTGCTAGGCAGGGAGTCTGCTTTGCCCTCTGACCCTATCCCCTCTCATGTGTTCTCTCTCATTCTCTCTGTCTCAAATCAATAAATAAAAAAAATAAAATCTTAGACAAATGTTTTTCAAAATCCTTTCCCCATTTTTTAATTGGGTAATTTACTTTTTTATTATTGAGTTGTTAACAGTTCTTTATATTTTCTAGATACTAGTCCCAAATTAGATAAATGATTTGCAAATATTTTCTCCTATTCTGTGGGTTGTCTTTTCACTTTCTTGATGGTGACATTTGAAGCATAAAAGTTTTTAATTTTAATGAAGTTCAATTTATTTATTTATTTTCTTGTTGCTTGTGCTTTTGGTGTCCTATCCAAGAAGGTCTGCCTAAGCTAAGGTCACAAAGATATACTCCTGTATTTTCTCCTAAGAGTTTTATAGTTTCAGCTCTTAAATCTTATTTATATCTTTTCCTTATTTGCAAATTAATGCCACACTGATAGTAGACACAGAACCATCCTATTTCCTTCTTTAGTACCAAAGTGCTTTGGTGGTCTAGGCCCCGTCTAGTCAATGGCCAGAAATTATTTGTTTATAGGATTCTACTTTCTAGTATTGAACAAAGGCTCATCTATGGGATGTCACAGATTTCTGCTCCATTTCTCCAGTGGCACACAATTAAGGAAACGTCTAAGGATAAAGCTACCCTCCTTGCATTCTATGATCATATCTAGAGTATAAGCTTCTTCCATAAAATTTAAACTTAAGAGATCTCTTTTGTCATATTCATAAACTCTAAATCTTTGGGAAATACAAATTTAATTGTTGTAATTACAACTACTGAGGTATGTCATGTTTTCATAGGATTCCTGTCATGCTCCCAACGTACGTATGACTGAGAAACTATAATTTAAGTAATAGAATTGAACTCAATTAAAATTTATTGAGGGCCCACTATATGCAAAGCATTATGGGAGTGCTGAGATGACTAAGTCATAGTTCTTGACCTCAAAGAGGTTATAATTTAGTGGGGATTAAAAAAAAATCCAGAGGGGGGGGGGAAAACCAAACCAAACCGGAGAACTGATGATTAAATTCAGTCTTTCTGCAGAACGCTTATATCCTCAAGGAATTAATTAATTCTTAGGCTCAACAAATCCTTTATTTCTATTGTGATCTAGGTGCTCCAGCTCTAAATTACAGAGAAATTCCTAAAAGCTATGTGAAAACTATATTTTATAAAAAAGAATGATATATGTAAGAGAACTTGGAAAGTTGAAGGAAATCCTATATAACGTGAAAGTCTTCCTGTCATTTAAAGAATACTCTTCCTCAAATGACTCTTTGCCAACTCAAAGCAGGAACCCCCATCACCATTCCTACCTCCACCACACCGTTCCCTGGAGGACATACCAGATAGATCCATCATGTAGCTTTTTTTACTACCAAATACTTTTCTGTGGAGCTCCTTTTTTAATGTATAGTTTTTGAGTTCCTTCAAAACCTGATTATTTTTTTAAGCTCAAATAATGCTAAATGTGAAGATGTTTTCTAGTTTCAGACTAGTTTCTAGTTACCTCTTAAGACATCTTGGCCCCGAAATCTATATATCTCTATTCTTTTCCCTTCCAACTTTCCACATCTGGCATGCTAGAAACTTCCTGTTGTTTCAGGTCAAATCGATGTTTATTTGCTGGCATCATAATTATGTGCTCTTATACTAGAAAGAGAATTGAAGAATATTTTGGCTGAGTTGTGTGGTTTATCCACAGTACCACATTCTGGTTTAAGTGATTTCATCACTCAGTCAAAAGGCTACCCCAGGTTCAGTGGTTTTCTAGTCACAGTCAATAAAGCAACGGAAAAAAAACCCCTACTATTTCTCTTCATGACTAAGCAAGACTTGAAGGGAACAGTTACAGGAAGCTGTTTCAACAACTTAAAAAATGCTAATGACAGAAAACGTTTACTTAGCTGGGAGCTGCAAAATAATCAATAAGGTTGTGAAAGGAAAAGTTTTTGTCTCAACCATCTATATCTGCTACTTAAATGCTATTTTAGGTACCTAAGATAATAGAATTCACTTTAAAATTTTTTGGTAGAGTTAGGAGTAGGATAGCTATTTTATTTTTTTTGTCTTTAGACTTACCTTGTGGCAACAAGAGGGTAGCTATGACACGGTGATGCCCAGGCATCCCTTGTCCATGGCATACAGTCATAAAGCAGTAAATCCTTCTCAGTCACAGCCATGAGGACAGGTCTCCATTGTTGTCTTCCACCATCTAGTTTTGCCTGTTACAATGGTAAAATCCAGAAAGCAGAGCTAACTATAATGATATGTATCTGTAAAAGTCCCTTCAGCGATGGTCTAACATGGGTCTCCATTTTGTTCCCTGAACCTAACAGGCTTGAAGAACAGGAAACATCCCATCAGGTTCCTTTCCACTGGCTGGGATTCTCCAACGGGAGGTGTGAGGTGGTCTGTGTAAGCTGGAAAAGCTCTCTCTGAGTGAGAGACATTATCTAGTGATAGGACTCTGTTTTTAGAGTTCCCCATTAACTTTGGGAAGTTTCTGTTTCTGTTTCAAATGTACCATTGCATTTACCTGCATAAAGTTCAGTTACCTCTGTGAGGATTAAAAAATGTAGGAAAACAAGCACTATTTATCCATATTGTCAAGGATCCAAAGCCAAAAAGCAGAAGACTATGCTGAACAAAATCCCTGGTTTATCAAAACATTTCCCCCCATGAAATGACAGACAGGGAATGCTTAACAATAGCGTTATTTTTACACAGATCCTAAAACAAAAACAAAAAAACACAGATGCTTCAGGGGCGCCTGGGTGGCTTAGTCGTTAAGCATCTGCCTTCCACTCAGGTCACGGTCCCAGGGTCCTGGGATGGAGCCCCACATCGGGCTCCCTGCTCAGCGGGAAGCCTACTTCTCCCTCTCCCACTCCCCCTACTTGTGTTCCCTCTCTCACTGTGTCTCTGTCGCATAAATAAGTAAAATCATTAAAAAAAAAAAACCACAGATGCTTCAGCTATCACTGATGGCTTTAAGGAGAAATCAAAATGATGAATCACTTGTCTCTTATAGAGTTGTCTTTAAAGCTACTTCTTATTTTCTCTTCCTTAATGACTTCTGAAGGTCATTTGGACATGTCAGAGCCCCTTAAGAATGTATCTATAATCTGAAAAGTGGCCTGAGTGGTTCGGTTCTGTGTTATAACATCTACTACTAGAACTTTCACCTCATAGTTAGAGCCACAAACTGACTCCAGGAGTTGGAAATGAATTCTAGCCAGTGAAGTGACCCATGTTCTTGCGTGTGCTGAAAGCACAAAATATACGACCCTACTCTGAGATTCCAGCAACGTATTGTAGAAATAATTTTACTTTTCTTATCAGTGAACCCAAGTTTTCTAAGATTCTATATTTAGTCTCTGGGTAACTCTATAATACCTGGAGGGAATATATCAGTTCCAAAGAGGTTCTCTTGGATTCTTACATTTTTGGGTCACAGAAAACCCAAAGGGATTTCTAAGTCTTTGTCTCTGAGATTGTTATGAATAATATTTCTAAAGGGAAGATATGGTAGTCTTCCCTTATCCACAGTTTTGCTGTTCATGATTTCAGTAACCCACAGTCAACCACAGTCCTGAAGCAGATGATCCTCCTGCTGACGTGTGGTCAGAAGGTCAACTGTAGCCTAATGCTGTCACATTGCCTGCGCCATTCACCTCACTTCACCTCACATCATCATAAAAATCACTAATATAGTACAATAAGATATTTGAAAGAGAAAGAGACCACATTTATATAATGTTTATTACAGTAAATTGTTATAATTGTTCTATTTTATTGTTAGCCGTTGTTACTGTTGTTAATCTCTTACTGTGCCTGATTTATAAATTAAATTTTATCGCATGTATGTATGAGTAGGAAAAAACAGTATATATAACATTCGGTACTATCTGTGGTTTCAGGCATCAACTGGGGGTCTTGAAACATATCCTCCATGCATAAGGGGACTACTATAATGTAAAATCTATCTTCCCAAGAGGTTAAAATGGCAATCTGACTTGTTTTTTCTTTTCTTAAAGATAGGGAGAGAGGGAGGAGGGGGAGGGGAAAGATAGAGGGAATGGGAGAGAGAGAATCCTAAGCAGGCTCCATGCCCAGCTTGGAGCTCAATGCAGGGCTCAATCTCACAACCCTGAGATCATGAAATGAGCCAAAATCAAGAGTCAGATGCTTAACTGACTGAGCCACCCAGGCGCCAAGGCAATCTGACTTTTTAAAATTAATTTTTCCCCTAAGTTGTAAGAGATTTTGAAGGCTAGATCAGAGTATATGCATTTGGAAAACCTAAATTAAATGTATTTCTTCCCAAAGAAGATATTTTAGGCAATAAAGGAAAACTGCTAATACCAATAGAAGCAATATCTAATTTCAAGATAGAGACCTTTTTTTTCAACTAACAATTTTTTTTAAAGATTTTATTTATTTATTTGACAGAGAGAGACACAGTGAGAGAGGGAACACAAGCAGGGGGAGTGGGAGAGGGAGAAGCAGGCTTCCTGCTGAGCAGGGAGAAGCAGGCTTCCCCCCACCCCGATGCGGGGCTCGATCCCAGGACCCTGAGATCATGACCTGAGTTGAAGGCAGATGCTTCATTAACTGAGCCACCCAGGCGCCCCTCAACTAACAATTTTTAAAAGCGTTTATTCTTCGGCCCTTTTGAGTCTTTAGTTTTTAGAGAATTTCTTTCCCCTCTTCTACTTACCATTGCTGGAAAATGAAATGTCAATTTAAGTCATTCTGTTTGTGTATTTGCCTTAAGTTATAAGGATACTCTTTGCTTTCAGTGGAGTCAAAATGTTGCCTGCTATATATAGCATGTATTTTTGGTTGTGCTATCAGTACAGCTTTGGGGCTCCACTATTAAGGCTCTGGCCAGGGAAAGAAGGGACACTAATGTTAGGGTTCTGGTTGGCTTGTGTTTCAACACCCACACATGCACACACCTGGCCAAACAACAGCCTTGTCCAAATTTTACTTTTTAATAAATAGAGTTGAATAACACTAAAGATGAAAAACTACTGATAATTACTATTCATTCCCTAAATCCTAATCCTATAAATCAGGTGATATTCTGTTATTTTGTTATTATCAGAGAAAACAGAGAGCAAAAACTAAATAAGCCATTCTGCTAATGCTGATTTAGTGTATATGTTCCTACTTTGAGTATTTACACATTTGGAGAATTTCAAGGAACAAATTAGGAACTGTTGAAACAGAGTTTTCTTTAGCTGTCTTGGCTTTTCTAATCAATATTCAACTGCCTAAAAATACTGGTTTTATAGGTAATATATGTCGCCCCATTTGGAGGACTTAAAGAAAATTCTCTTTAAAGACTATAACCAACTAAAAAGTAAACTATCAGTTACGTAAAAATCAGTATCAGTGAAGAGACAGAAGTCCATGTGCAGAGAAGAGATTATCTATTGTTTACCAAATATCTGTAGTGTAGGTTTTCCCTGTTTTAAGCAAACTCAATTTTTAACAATGTGAAAAAACAAAAAAGATAAATTAAGGAGAGATCATTTAAAGTTAAATAAATGATCCTTCCTAAATTTATCTCTGCAAAATGACTATCTTTTTTTTTTTCTTTTTTAGAGAAAGAGAGAGAGAGAGAGAGAAAGCATGAGCTTGAGCATGGGGAGAAGGGCAGAAAGAGAAGCCTAAACAGGCTCCACACCAAGTGCGGAGTCCAACACCCAAGGCCCAATGCGAGCTAATCCCAGGACCCTGAAATCATGATCTGAGCCAAATGAGCCACCCAGGTGCCCCACAACTATCTTTTCTAAGTATAACTGAAAAAACTTCATTTATATGGAAGATTTTCAATAAATACACCTCATGCCAAAAGAAATGCTTACCTATAGTGAACAGATTATATAATCTATCATTATTTTGACCACTTTCATACTCAAAGAATGAAATAATCTTATAGTTAGAAAAAGCTTTGGCATTTACTGAATTCAACCTTTATCAAATACATAAGCTCATTATAATACCTCTGAGAAATGTATCCAGTCTTGCTTGAACACCTTATTCCAACAGTGGCATCTGATTTGGATAACCCAACAACTACTTCAAAAAAGTAAAAATCGGGCACCTGGGTGGCTCAGTTGGTTAAGTAACTGCCTTGGGCTCGGGTCGTGATCCTGGAGTCTCGGGATCGAGTCCCACATCAGGCTCCCTGCTCAGCACGGAGTCTGCCTCTCCCTCTGACACTCCTCCCTCTCATGCTCTCTGTCTCTCATTCTCTCTCTCACAAATAAATAAAATCTTTAAAAAATAATAATAATAAAAATAAATCTAAAAAAGTAAAAATCAAGATTATTTTAGAAATAGTACATTGAGGGACACCTGGGTGGCTCAGTCAGTTAAGCGTCCGCCTTCGGCTCAGGTCATGATCCCAGGGTCCTGGGATCGAGTCCTGCATCAGGCTCCTTGCTCAGGGGGAAGCCTGTTTCTCCCTCTGCCTGCTCTGACTGCCGCTCTCCCTGCTTGCGCTCTCTCTCTCTGACAAATAAATAAATAAAATCTTAAAAAAAAAAATAGAAATAGTACGTTGAATTAGTTCAGTAGTACTACTTTTTAAAGAGATTAAACTTTTTTACTTAGTATTATTTCCCAACTCTGAGCTTGTGTTCTTGGACAATATTTTAAAATTAGTGATTTGTTTGCTTGCTTTTTGTATGCATATAGATATACACAAAAAAATTACTGAGCATCTACTATATACATGGCATTAGGCTAAGTTCTCTGGGGGCAATAAAGATTTGGGAAAAAATGTGCTCCCGTCTTGCAAGAGCTCAAAATTGACTGGAGGAAACACCACATAAATATGGTCCATCACATATTGTGATGAATTGGTGGCTTTGTTTTTCTCCTTTCTACTTGTCTTTATGTAGCATAAACAAAACTAATTTCACTTTAAAAGTTTAACAACTCTCATATATTGCTGGTGGGAATCTAAATTAGTTCAACCCTGATGGAAGGCAATTTGGCAATATTTATCAAAATTACAAATGCATATGCCCTTGTGGTTCTTTAAAAATATGTCCACAAATTCTTTACTACTCTTCCCTTTAAGAGGTGGAGCCCTTGGTGTAGAGTGGACTTAGTAACTTGCTGCTGATGAAAATACAATAGAAGAGACTAGATCATAAAAGGCACTGAGGCTTCTAGCTTGTTCTTTCTCTCAGATCAGTTACTC